GGGGGCAGAGAGCGCCCGGCCGCTGCCGCGCTGGGAGGCACCCGTCGCGTCCCCTGGGGTGGCCACGTGTTGGGGTCGCTTGGGAGTCGCAGGGACTCAGCGCCGCGCCCCGGGACACGCTGGACCCCGGCGATGCGCGTCACCTGGAGCCCCGCCCTGGGAGGGCCGGGAGGGGGATCCCCGCTCATCGTTGCGTTTCCAGGAAGTCCCAGGTGCTGCCAATCAGGGAGGACACTCGGAGGGTTGCTCTGTGCTACGTGCTTTTTTTAAAAAAAATATTGACTTTAGAGGAAAGTAAGAGAAACGTCAGTGAGAGTCGTGGATCCGCGCCCCCTGCTGGGGATGGAGGAGCCCGCGCCCCGCGTGTGCCCCGAGGGGAGTCGAACGGCGACCCCCGGGTTCATAGGTGATGGGCAGCCGCTGGGCCACACTGGCCAAGCACCGCCTGCTCTTAGGCACCCCTGTTGGAGGTGGTGGCTGAGCTTGTCACCGGGTTTCAGAAACAAAGTCACAGTTCTTACCAGGCTGCCAGGCTGGACGCATCTGGAAGAGACAGAGGGGGACTTCTTGGGGTGCAGGTGGAAGACTGTCCTTACAGGGGAATCCCGACTCTCCGGGTTCAGGGAGGAGGGCAGGGCACAGCGTGTGTGGCCTGGCAGGTTGGCTGGAGACTGAAGCAGAGGTCTGCAGATGGGACGGCCTTGCACCCATGTGCCAGCTACACCCGGTGGTCACGTGTGCCTGCAGAAGGCTCTAAGGTGGCATTGAAATCTCGCCACACCGGCATCTGGGCAGGTGGTGCTGTGGAACCCGCTTTGTGGACGATCCAGTTAGAGCCAGGCTGTGAAGGTGTTTGTTTTACAGTTAGATGGGCCCAGGTGCTGGCTTCTGATCCTGCAAAACGTGATAGGAAGTCAAAGAGGAGTGTCCGGGGAGAGGGTCGCTGGATCTGTCTCTGGGAAGGTGGTCAGGGAGCAGAGCCTTTTAGAAGCAGTTAAAGCTCAGCAAAGATGATAACCTGACTTAAAGCAGAATGGTCTTACCTGTAAATGTTGCAGCCTGTGATTTAGAGCCCTCGGTGGCGGCGCTGACCATCTGCAGGGGCCCGAGAGGCCTGACCGGTGCTGACCTCGGGCCACAGGCTCTCCTCACCCCACTGTGGTCACTGTGGTGTCGCTACTTCTACAGACAAGCCAGGTGCTCCACACCTGTCACAGGTGGCTCCCTCTAGTCTGCTGCACTGGGACAACCTCCTCGGTTCTGACCCCCCATCTCCTTTTAAACGTTGGCTTCTTGGAGGCAGCTCCTCCGGCATGTAAATTAGCTCCCCGCCACTGTGAGAGCATTCCGCTTGTTTTCTTCGTTAAACTTTAAAAATGTGTAGTGACGGGTTTATCTGTCTCTTCCCCTGGGGCTGACGTTTGCTGGATGTTTCCCCTGTGCTGGAGGCTTTGGCAGTGCCACACGTGTGTCCTTACCTGACCTGCGGGCAGGTTATCGTAGCTCCACCTGCAGGTGGAGGCCGGGTCCCAGCTGATGTGGAGGAGCGGGTCTGGGCGGTGCAGCCGAGGTCTCCCCCCTGAATGACCCGTGCTGGGGCCTGGCTCCCTGGCTGGGTCAGGTGTAGCAGAGCAATGGAGTAGTTAGAGAGAGATGGCCCAGCCACCCTGCTCCGAGACCAGTGCACAGCGATGCCACGTCGGGGGGAGACACGGGAACATACTGATGGGGACTGCGGGGACACCCGGGCGGAGGCAGTGTGTGTGTAAGGACTACGCAGGGGGCCTGCGTGATACCGGCCGCCACGCTCAGCTCCACATGGATCACACACACCTTCAGTCTCGGCCGTTTTTCCGTCTATTTGTGACAAGTCAACTGAAGAGTAGTGTTAAGTTGTGTCCCACATCAGCCAGCGTGTGCGTTGAGCATGGTTCTCACCTTTACCCCCCTCAAGAGAGAAGAGATGACAGGACGCGCCCGCGCGAGAGCCAGAGGAAGGGCTCGAGGCCAGGAGGCCGTGCAGCACGTGGGCGCCGCCGCGGTGAGTGCCCCCCCCCCC